TTTTTTATAAATTAAATCATAAAATACTATTATATAATTTGTTTATATCTAAAATTAAAAAAAGAAAGTGCAACAAATATCAGAAATTTGATAATCAGATAGTGAAACAAAATAGAATAATCTGATAAGATTGCAAATTTATTAGGTAATAATTTCATTAACAATCAATCAATAAATTTTGATCAATAATTACTCATTGATTAGTTGAAACAAATATAATTTAAATTTCTGTCAGTAAAACTGTAATTTAATCAATGATTTTAGTTAAAATAAACATAATTTAAAATTTTTATTCATAAAATTCTGATTTAATCAATAATTTTAATTTCAAAGAAAGCAATAAAAATCAGAAATTTAATAATCACTTTTAATGAGTGTTTATCAAAGATTACATATGTCTGATTGGATTTCTTATCATTTTAATCATCGTTAATCAGTGATAAAATGTGTGATCAATGAGATAATACTATAAATCAGTAAGATGACACTATTTTAATATTATCATAACTTAATCGCACATATTATGTAATCAGTAATGTTATCTGTAAAATAAAAATACAGGTAAATAAATTAAAGTAATTAAACAAATTTGTAATACAAGAGAGAGAGAGAGAGAGAGAGAGAGAAAAGATGTGTATGTATTGTTAAAAAAGAACGAATTACACCTGAATGAGCATTAATGCAACACACAAGGTCGTCACCATTAAGTGTTTACCTGAAAGCAAAAAAAGTTTTTGGATGATTGGTGCAGAAAAAAGAAAGAAGTTTGGAAGGTCATTTGTGATTCGATAAGAGCTAAATCAAATAAAACTGAAATTTTATGAAAAGCATATGCAAATACAGCTATGTATGTATGTATGTGTGTGTAGTGTATGCACATGTGTGCATGTCTGTATGTATGTGTGTGTGTATGTGTGCATGTCTGTACGTATGTGTGTGTGTATGTGTACATGTATGTATGTGTGTGTGTATGTATGTGTGTTTGTGTATGTGTGTACACATATGAATATGTGTGCATGTATGTCCCTATGAATGTGTCTGTGTGCATGTGTCTGTATGCATGTGTCTGTATGAATGTGTCTGTATGCATGTGTCTGTGTGCATGTGTCTGTATGCATGTGTCTGTGTGCATGTGTCTGTATGCATGTGTCTGTATGAATGTGTCTGTATGCATGTGTCTGTGTGCATGTGTCTGTATGCATGTGTCTGTATGAATGTGTCTGTATGCATGTGTCTGTGTGCATGTGTCTGTATGCATGTGTCTGTATGCATGCGTATGTGTGCATGTGTCTGTATGCATGTATCTGTATGAATGTGTCTGTATGCATGTGTCTGTATGAATGTGTTTGTATGCATGTGTCTGTATGCATGTGTCTGTATGCATGTGTCTGTATGCATGTGTCTGTATGCATGTGTCTGTATGCATGTGTCTGTGTGCATGTGCCTGTGTGCATGTGTCTGTATGCATGTGTCTGTATGCATGCGTCTGTGTGCATGTGTCTGTATGCATGTATCTGTATGAATGTGTCTGTATGCATGTGTCTGTATGAATGTGTTTGTATGCATGTGTCTGTATGCATGTGTCTGTATGCATGTGTCTGTGTGCATGTGTCTGTATGAATGTGTCTGTATGCATGTGTCTGTATGCATGTGTCTGTGTGCATGTGCCTGTGTGCATGTGTCTGTATGCATGTGTCTGTATGAATGTGTCTGTGTGCATGTGTCTGTATGCATGTGTCTGTATGCATGTGTCTGTGTGCATGTGTCTGTATGCATGTGTCTGTATGCATGTGTCTGTGTGCATGTGTCTGTGTGCATGTGTCTGTATGCATGTGTCTGTATGAATGTGTCTGTGTGCATGTGTCTGTATGCATGTGTCTGTATGCATGTGTCTGTATGAATGTGTCTGTGTGCATGTGTCTGTATGCATGTGTCTGTATGAATGTGTCTGTATGCATGTGTCTGTATGAATGTGTCTGTATGCATGTGTCTGTATGCATGTGTCTGTATGAATGTGTCTGTATGCATGTGTCTGTATGCATGTGTCTGTATGCACGTGTCTGTATGCATGTGTCTGTATGAATGTGTTTGTATGCATGTGTCTGTATGCATGTGTCTGTATGCATGTGTCTGTGTGCATGTGTCTGTATGCATGTGTCTGTATGCATGTGTCTGTATGCATGTGTCTGTGTGCATGTGTCTGTGTGCATGTGTCTGTATGCATGTGTCTGTGTGCATGTGTCTGTATGAATGTGTCTGTGTGCATGTGTCTGTATGAATGTGTCTGTGTGCGTGTGTCTGTATGAATGTGTCTGTATGCCAATCCACGTGCACAATTGCATATGTAAAGTAATTCCAAAAATAGAAAAAACAAATATTATTTTATTAATAAGAAATGAAAATTTTTAGCATTTAGTAAAAACTTTTTTTTTGATTTTTATTTTTTTTATATTTTTTTCTGCCAATTTATTTGTTTGAAGAAAAGAAAAGAAAAATGGAAAAAAAAAGATTATTTTTGAAAGAAATAATTTCGTTTTAAATTTAATTAATTATTGCAAATTTAAATTTAATTAATTATTGTAAATTAATTTTTGGCATTTACTAAAATTCTTAAAACATTTATATTAAATTTTATGTAAAAAGCAAAAATTTTCACAAAATTATATATTTTTAAGTGAAAATTTATAAATTTGTTAATTTTTTGATTATCATTAATGACAATTTTTATTATTTAAATTTGAAATTTTTTTTTTTAAACTTTCATTCTATTGTTTTCATTTTTATTTTGCATTATTTTCAGCTGCATTTCATAATTACAAAAAGCTAATTTTATTCTAAATAACAACAAAATTTAAATTATTTTATGCTAATAATTAGCATTAAAGCATTCTTTTTTCTAGCAATTAATATTATTTCTTTCATATCTAAAAGTTAATATTTTAATTAGAAATTTGAAAATTAAATTTAGCAGACTTGCATAATTCTACGAATATTTGATTTTTAAACTGACATTTACAAAAAACAAAAAGGAAAAAAAAACTTTATTACTTTTAATAATACATTTTTTATATCAGTAATTCAGAATTACGATTTAATAATAATTTTTTAAATTTAATTACCAATACAAAATTGACATATCTATACCTTAACAATGAGGAAAATTTGAAATTTTTAATAAATAAAATGTACAATTTTTAATGACTAACATATCACAGATTCAATTGTACAAATAATTAATTAATTAATTAAACAGAAAATGATGAAAAGTGAGCAGTTTTTTAAAATAATTTTCATTTCCGGTTTTTTTTTTCTTTTCATGAACGGAAATGAAAAGATTTTAGTGTTATTCTAAAAATACTTAATTAAAACTAATTTAAATATGCTTAATAGGAATTTGTATTATCGTTGAATATATATAACAGAAAAGAAAACATATTAATTAATTCATAATTATACAATTATAATTTGATAATCATTTACAATTTTACAAATTTGATTACTATTATGAATTTTTAATATGTGATTTTATTTTTATAACTGATTAAAATTATTATTAATCAACCATTTTTGCATGCTTTTTTTTACAAAAAATAATAAATCAACAAAAATTGATTGATTAATAATAAATTATCAAAAATTAATCGATTTGTTTTAAATAAAGTAATAATACTATACAGGTATAATTAACGCATACAATACGTAAACTTCCAGTAATTTTATTAAATCAAAATTCAATAAAATCCAATTTATCGTTATACATTTCATTTATATTACATATTTCATTCATTGCTTTTTTAATAAATTTTTTAAATTTGCCAAAATTTAAAAAATTATTAAAATTTTTTAAAAAAAAAACAAAATTGCTATGAAAAATTTTAATTAAAGCAAATTTTTTTCGTTTTGTTACCATTGCAATAATTAATTAATAGAAAGAATTCTCAAAGTATAAATAAAATTGCAATTTTGTTATTTCAAAAATAATAATTTCATTTTTTGACACAAAATTATAATTTCTTTTTTTTTATTGCATAAATAGTAATTAGAATATATAAAATTAAAAAAAAAAGGAAAAAAACGCATTAAAAAAGATTTTTAAATTTGAAAAATTTATGAGAAATAATATTGTGGTCAGAATTAACACTAATTATAACACAATTAATGACTTTTTTCAAAAATTTCAAAGTTTTTTTTTTTTTTTGTTAAGAATTCTAGTTCAAAAAAAAAAAAAAAAAAAAAAACATCAATTTGAATACTTTGACACTTTTTATTGAATAAAAATAATAAAATAAATTCTTTTTCTTTTGTAAAATCCTAATTTAGTTGTAAATTAATTTGTAAGAAATAATTTCACAAAAAAATGCTAAATTATTTTATAAGAAACAAAAAAAGAGTAAGTGAAATAAAAAATAATAGTAAAAATTAAAATGTTTGAAATAAAATTTCAACAAAAATTTTAAATTACACTTTAAATTAAGCAAAAATTCATTGTACAAAATTAATTTCCACATAATATTTTAAGTAAAACAATTATTTCATTAAATATTTACATTAGAAATCAATGAGAAAAAAAAAATTTCCTAAATACTAGTCAAATAATAAGTAAAAAAAGAAAAAAATAAACATTTAGGCACGCAAAATTAAGTTAAACAACTGATAGTAATAATAAAATTGTAATATACAAATATTTAAATAATTTGAATAATTTTAGGTTTTATAAAAAAATAAATAAATAAAACTGAAAAATGAAAAAAAGATTATAAATAGTTGAAATGAATAAATGTAAAGTATTTAAGTTATGATTTGCAAATTTTTTACTAAATAATCACAAAAATTACACAATTTAATAATAATAATATATTAATATTTCCCATTTTTTCCTTTCATTTTATTCACATTTACATAAATTTATTACATTAATTAAAATTAGAAAAAATCATTTTTTAAATTTTTCCAATATTAAAAACAATTTGATAAAAAAAAAAAAAAAATAAAAATAAAATTTAAATGACTTCATTTAATCCATGATCGATTAGTAAAAGATTTTTTGCATAATAACATACAGCAATATCTGGTATTGATGATATCAATCTGTAAATAAATAATTATAAATTTTTCTGAATTATATTTTAATAATTTTTTTCACTTTTAAAAATATTATATAAATCAGTTTATTTTTCTTTTTTTTTTGAAAAAGTATTAAATTTTAGTTTAAACTTAAGTATATTATATCAATAATTCAAAAAATTACTTTAATATACTCTGTTAAAAAGAAATTATAATCATTTCATATGCTGTAATAGAATCATTTTATTTTTAAAAATTTTATACAAAGTAGTTTTTATTTGAAAAAGTGTTAATTTTTAATTTAAACTTAAATATATCCCACTATTCCTTAAAAAAATTACTTAAATCTTGGAGCAAAGAATTCAAATGAAAAAATTTTTCCTATTTCAAACAAATTACTTTTAATATTCAAATTAAAAATTTAAGTCAAAAAAGTTTTCCCATTGCTTTGAAATAAGCATTTCATTTTCTTTTCATTTTTTTCAATCTTATAAATTAACATAAAACAATAATAAAACATTTAAAGTTAATCATAAAAATTACTTTTAAAAAAAAAAATGAGAAACTATTAGTCATACCTCATTAAGCCATAAGTTAAATGAGTCATCAGGCGTAATTTATTACTGTCATATAATTCACAAGCACCTCGAAATTGTTCTCCACAAATGCTATTCCACATGATGCAAGTCTTGTCAACAATCCAACCCCAGAAAATTGATGATGGTAGTGTTGCTGGAAGAGAGACAAAATTAAAATTTAAAACACAATTTAAATTTTTTTAAAAAAATTTTTAGATTGTGTTTTCATTGGAAAACAATAGTAACACTTTATGTTTAAATTATTATTATTGTTTTTAGTTTTGCCATTGTTGATTATTTCAAAAACTTCGATAATCAAAACAGAAAAAGAGGAAAATGTATTGGAAGAAAATGAAATTAATTTTTAATTATATTTTGAATAATAATAATAGAAAGAAATGAAATTAATTTTTAATTATTATTTGAAATAATAATGTTGAAATAAATTAGATTAATTTCCAATTACAATAAAAATTTTAAAGTTAAACGAACCAATTAAGCTGACTAAAAATCCTTGAAAGCCAAGAGAAATACTTCGATCCACCGGTGGCACTGATCTTAATATTTTTTACAATGAATATAGATAGAATATTAATCAAATTAATAAAAATTAAATAAGTTAAAAAGTTAATTAATAAGTATAATTACTCATCATAAAAACCATTCTATTCCTAAAAAAAAAAATAAAATTAGGAAGTAAATTTAATCAAAATATACTTTGTAATTAAAAAAAGAAAAAAAAAAATTGCATAATGGAACTAAAACAATAATAAACTTAAAGTAAAGTATAAAATGAATTTTTTTTTCACATAACTCCTAATCTTATCATTTTTATCAGTATCAAAAATTATTTTAATTAATTTGATAAATTATCATTTAAATAAGAAATATAAACGTACCTAAGAACAATTAGCACTGATGGAATAATACTCATTCCACCAAAGATACCCGAAAATGCTAAATTTATAAAATACCAAATAAATTTTTGCTCACAAATTCTTTGATCACAAAAATCACGTGACACGTCATTGTTTACGCTATTCGAACAGCTACAATTTTTGAAAATCTAAAATTATAAAAAAAGAAAAATTGAATATATTAAAAAATATTAAAATGTTATTATTACTTAGGATTAATGTATGAATAATTTATTATCAATTAAGTATAAACTGACAAAATTAGAAAAAATTTGTGATTTTCTACTTGAAATTTTTCGCAAAATTTAATTGATATGAAAAGATAATAATAACACTAATAATTATAAATAATAATTAATTAACAATAATTAAGTTATAACAAAATTAAATAATTCAAACAGATAATTTGGAAAATTTTTGCATAAGAATTTAGTCCTTTTTATGAAATTTAATAAATTTAAGAAATTTAAGCGTTCACTATTAAATCCATTTTAAATATTTTATCGCTTTCACAGAAATCAATTAATCGTTAATGTAAATTAATTCAGTACAAAATAATAATTAAAGTTTTTATGAAAAATCTGATCAAAATTCTTATTAAATTATAAATTTTCACTAAAATTTTGTCTTTTTTTCGAAATTTTTTCCTATTTTTTTCAGTTTTGAAATTTTTTACTTTTATTAAAGTTTAATTATAACTTAAATTATAATTTATAATGAATGAAAAGAAAAAAAACTATCTCCAATTTAATAACAAATAAACAATACTTTATGAACTGATGGATGAGCAAAACTTTGATCTAGGTGACAACCAGCGTGACAAGGTGAGTAAAATGCTTCACCTTGTTGATTACAAACTGGATACAATGGCATATCAATGCAATTACAATCATTATTACATGTTGTCGTAAAATTATGATTAATTAATCTAAATTAATTAATTAATTAATTAATTACCGATAATTAACAAAGTTTAAATATTTGTTTAATAATACACAAAAAAGAATTTTTATTTTTTAAAAAAAAAACGAAGGATAAAAATTATTTTTTCAAAAAGAGATATTAAAAAAAGAAATATTCAATTAATAGATGCAATTTGAAAAAAAAAACCGAAAAAAATAAAATTTATTAAAAACTAAATTTACACATGAAATTTTATTCTAATTAATTAATTAATTAATTAATTAATTATTTACCTAGCTTTATTACCAATTAAACTAAGCACTGATTTACAACCAATCATTGCATTTTGAAGTGAAAACATAGCAGCAATTAATGAACAAACAAGAATATATACTGCTGCTTTTCTACCTGAAAAAAAAAAATAAAAAATTGATTAATATTAATTCATAATTATTAATCATATTTAATTTTAAAATATTCTATCAAAAAATTTACAAATTATTTATTAGTAAAAAGTCAAATAAAAATTTTTGTTGTTTAAATTATTTTATTAAAAAAAAAAAAAAAAACTCTAACAAATAAAATGACGATTAATTTAAGAAAAACAAATTTATTTATTGAAAAAAAAAAATTTTTTTTTCGTTTTTTTGTAAGTGTTACCTTGTAATTTAAATTTTCGCATAATTAAACCACCAATAAACAAACCAATTGCTAATCCTGGTAAACTTGCTAATCCTATAATATAATTTTGCTATTTCTTCAAATTCAATTTGATGATAAGAAATTATTTAAATTTAAATGAATTACAATAATATAATTAATCAATTGCTTAATTATTTAATTTTATTTTTATTTTTCAAATTAATATTAATAAATAATTTTGATCAATTCTTCTACTTTATTATTTATACTTCAAAAAAAAAAAATTTTTATTTTTTCACAAATATTGTCGAAATTTTAAATTTAACAAATAATAAATAAAAATAACGAATAATAAATAATAAATGACAAAAAAAAAAGGAAATAAATTATGAAAATAAAAAAAAAATTTTTCAAATAAAAAAGCAAAAGAAAAAAAAATGAAAAATTGTTCAAATTTTTATTAAAAAAGTTTTTTCTTTCATTTTATTAATAAAAAACAAACCTAAAAAAAGATTAATTTTATGTTGTGGCAAACCAAATTGTATTGCTAAATATTTTGGAAGAAAGATGAAAAATCCTTTAAATGCAAAAACATCCATTATGCGACCAATCATTGAAAATACATAAATCGGTGATTTCATTATTGTTTTTACAGTTGAAATAAAATCTATAAAAAAATTAAATTAAATAAATCAAATAATAAAAGAAAAAAAAAGTTTATTAAGCTGAAATAATTTTATTCGAATTTTTTTTTCAATTAAATTTTTTGTTTACAACAAAAAAAAAGAAAGAAAAGAATAAATATTCGATATATTTTATTATTTAAAGATATACAAATAGAAAATTTCACGCTTTATCTTATCAAATTTTATCAGTAAAATGATTAAATTATTATTTCAAATCACTAATCAAATTGTTAATAAATTAACTATGAAAATTAAAAATTACTGTTAAAATAAAAAAAAAATTACATATTTCGTTGTCATTTTTTTTTTCAAGATCTTTAAAAATTAATATATTTTTGATAAATTTCAAGCATTCAAATAATCTTTTCCGCGCTGCAATATCAAAATTCTAATGATAAAAAGATAATAGATGATAATTGAAGAAATATCAATAAATTAAAATTTTATTTAAACTCTTTTTGCAAAAAATATTTGAATTAAATATTTATTAAAATAAACTAAATGAAATGATTTTTGTAATTTTTAACAAATATACAATTTTAGTGATAAAAATGATAAGAAAATTTATAAATTATCAATTATCAATGATAATTCTTACCAATTAATTTTGCTTTTGCAGATGTTGGCACAATGGTATTACCTTCTTCATTTCTTGTAGCATATCGGTCAATTAGGGCCAAACCTTTATCGCGCGTCTTTTCTTCTACGGTAAGTCTTAAATTTATTTATATACGATAAATTTGAAGAAACGAAATCATTTTTTTTTGATTTTAATTATTTTCATTTCAATTAATCAAAATTAGTATTTTAAAATGATTAAAATTTAATATTAAAACAATTGAAATGAAAAAATTTAATATTAAAATAATTAGAATAAAATTTAATTGAAATGAAACAATTTAATATCAAAATAATTAAAATGAGATTACCTTTCATTGACTAATGAGTGAATTTCTGTTGGTCGATTATTGTCCAAATTATTCTTTGCGTCATTCTTTAACATATTGTAAAATTTAATAAATATTTTCATAGGTAAAAAAAAATAGTAACAAAAAATAATTACTGATTAATTTTGTTAATTAGTAATTAATTTTGATTATGACCAATTTTATTTTCTATCCTCTAATAATGTGATATAAATTTGCAATTATTATTTAAATTTTAATCTAATTATATAAGTATTATATTTTAATATCTCATATACAAATCATTTAATTACTAGCTATATTTTAATTTTCAAAAAAATCAAAAAATTTAAAAAATTTTTTTTATTTTCCATCTTCTAATAATGTGATATAAATTTGCAAAAATTATTTAAATTTTAATCTAATTATATGAGTATTATATTTTAATATCTCATATACAAATCACTTAATTACTAGCTATATTTTAATTTTCAAAAAATTTAAAAAATTAAAATAATTGAAACATACGTAGCATTTGTCATTGAAATTATTAGATTTATAATTGACACAGGTTGGATAGAGGTACAAAGCTAACGATGGAAAAAGCATCGTAATACCAATACCAAGAAAACCAGCCCACCAACGACCAATCCATGATGGATCACGCGATGTTAGCCCAGCTGGCACTGAAAACTTTTTCTTTTTTTTTTTTGAAATTTAAGAAAAGGGAATTTTTAATGCTTAAATAAATAAAAAGTTGAAAATTAAGGCGAAAATTTAAGAGGAATGAAAAATTATTGAAAATTATTAAAAATTCAAAGCGAACTACAAACATTATTCGTTTTCAGTAAGGAAAACAAAAACATTTAGAAGTGAAAATTAAAAATTGTCGTTGACATTGTGACAAAGATCGCTAACGAATTATTATTTAAAAATTTTGATAAGTGTGAATGAACTGTGTAAAATTAAATTTTACAATTTTGTGAAAAGATATAATTTAAAAAAGGAAAAAAAAAATAATATTCTTTCATGAAAAGGAATTCACAAAAATTTTAATTTTAAAATTCATGCAAAAAATTAAAATACGAACAGTGTCGTTTAAAAATTCAAATAATTTAAAAAATTGATTGTCCTTTTTTTTTTTTAAAGTAATCATTGAATAAAATCAAAAGTGAAACATTTGCATACAAAATCTATAATTTGTATTAGAAAATCATTGCAGATAAATCATTTAATTAAATGATAATAAATTTTTAATTAATTATTTGTAACTTTTTAGTAAACTTTTAATCAGTGATAATATTTTTACTTTTGAAATTTTTATGTTTAAATTACATTTATTAATTTGATATCAACAATATATAATTTGTAAAAAAGAAAAAAAAAAGGTAGCATTTCATACTGTATCATAAAATAATTTATCAATAATTGTACTTACCATTAAAACTGTAATAGTAATTATTAACAATACTACCAATTAAAAAGCCAAGAAATGGGCCAAGAATACGAATGAAAAACATCCCAGCTAAAATATTCGAAAAAAATGAAAAAAAAAATTAAATTAAATAATAAAATCCTCAAAATTTTTCAGTTATTTTATAAATTTATTATAAATTTAATTATTTTATGAATAATTTTAATGTCAAAATATACATTTTTTTCATCTAAATTAGATTTTCAAAAACAAAACTATTATTATTATTATTGTTATTTATTATTATCATTGCTATTATTTATTGTTATTATGGCCATTGTTTAGTATTATTACTGCTACTGTATATTATTATTTTTGTTATCATTGTTGTTATTGCTTATTATTATTATTTATATCACTGCTATTATTTTTATTAGCATCAATATAATTACTGTTATTATTTACATTATTATTATTAATTGTTACCATTATTATTATCTGTATCATTACTATTATTATTTACATTATTATTAATTGTTACCATTATTACTATTATTACTTTTATTATTATCAGTATCATTACTATTATAATTTGCATTATTATTATTATTAATCATTTTTCATTTCTTTAATTAACAAATAATCTTTTTGATAGAAACCAAAATAAAGTGGCAAGTTTTGTCGTTTCACGTTATCATCAATTAATGGAAGGCCAAGTGAATAAGGCATTGTTCGGCCAACGCCAAGGATAAGTAAGCCAGCAAATATCATAATAAATGGTCCAATATTTGATAATCCATTTGAACAATTAAATTTATTAATCTATAAAAATAAAAAATAATTAGTCATTAAATATTAAAAAATAAAAAATGAATTTTTATTAAAAAAAATACTGAAGTACTTGAGGACTAATCATTATTTATTTTATTTGTTTAGCGATAAGCTAAAAAAATAGTATTGTTTACATTTTGTTTATTTAAAAATCATTTTCATTAAAAAAACAAAAAAAAAAAAAAGAGAAAAAATATGGAATTGACAGAGACAAATTGTTTCTATAAGTAATATTACTTTTTATATTCTTCAAAGTTATTTACAAATGATTTTTAATTAATTTTTTTAAATGAATAATAAAATTATATTTGAATCATTTTTTTTTTTTTTGATATTTCAAAAAGTTTAACTTTTCGATCTTATCTTTTCAACATTTTTGCAAAATTTGCAACTATTCAATTTCATTTCAGTTTTTTTTTCTTCTTTTTTTTTCATTCTGTTTTTTACAGGTAGAATAGACGAATATGAGAATGTAACTGATAAAACAGTGATAAGAAAAATTGAACAATATTTTATCATAGATTATCAGTTATATTAAGAATGGAGAAAATAAATTAGAAATTAATGATTGAAAAATTTCTTTTTCATATATAATTAATTATTTTCACAATAACAAATAATTCTTCTAGTTTTTTAACATTGAATAATTTAATTTCAAATTTTATAAAATTCATACTTCTCGTCTAAGTGCATTGAACATTGTATTGCAAAATGAAAATGGTGAAGCAGTCAAAATGCGTAGATTCGAAATTTCCGTCATATTAGGTTGATTTAATTGCTCCAAGAAATTCTAAAATTAATAAAAATTTAAATTTTAATTATCAAATTCAACAGTTTTTTATGCAAATGGCCAAATTTAAATTTAAAATTAATATATATATATCGAAATTTAAAAATTATTAATAAATAGGATTTAATTGCTCCAAGAAATTCTAAAATTAATAAAAATTTAAATTTTAATTATCAAATCCAACAGTTTTTTATGCAAATGGCCAAATTTAAATTTAAAATTAATATGTATATATCGAAATTTAAAAATTATTAATAAATAGCTTAGATTTTTGCAAATTATAAAATTTAAAAACTAACAAAAAATATAGCACATAATTGATTGGAATTATTTTGATGAAAACATAATGAAAGTTTTTCATTAGCAAATTGACGTAACGTAGTATTTAACGCATACGTTTTCAAGGCTTCATCTAACTGAAACAAATTAAAATTACTTTTTACTTTTTTTTTTAAAAAAAAATAAATATTTAATTTAAAATCTATTTATTGACTATCATTGATTATGTTTTGAATTAAATGTTTTCCAAGAGATGTAGAAAAAAATATTTAAAATTAAGTAATCGATATTAATTATTAACAAAATTCATTCAAAAAATTTTTAACGAAATGATAATTTCATCTTACTTTTAGTTGGTCAATTTAAACGATTTAAAAAATAGTATTTCATATTTCAAAGCAATACTTTATAATTAATTAAATTAATCGCTAATTAGTAATAAAATTAAATCAAACAATTCATTTAAAAAGAAAAAGAAACTATTCAGAGAAAATAAAAAGAAATTAAAACAAGAGAGTTATACTCTCACAGAATTTTTCTAAATTAAAATTTATCTTAATATAACAAATGATACATTAATTATTTAAATAATTAGTAAACACGTAAAAACGTAATCTATACTAAAAAAAAATAATTAAACAAAAATAAAAAAATTGATAAACATTATTACCGGAATTAATTCAACATTTGAAAAAGTTTTTGCATGATTTAAAAATGTGCTTGCTTGTATCTCATCAATTCGATTACTTTGTTCAGATATTAATTTTGATTCTGAAAAAAGGAACAAAAACAAAAAAAAAAAAAATGAAAGTAGTAAAGTAAGATGGAAATTACTGTAATACGTATAAGTAAACATTTTACAGTATACTTATTTACTTACTTACTTACTTACTTTTATTCTTCTTTTATGAATGGTATGTAAAATAAGAAAATGAAAATGCTAAAATTTTATTTATTTAATTTCAATTCTTATTCAATTTCTTTTAATTACAATTATTCATTATAAAGATATTATGGAAATTAATCTTACCAATAAATTTTGAATTAAGTTGAATATTTTGCATTGGAAAAAGAAAATTAGACATGCTAATGAGAATATTAGCAAATGCAATCATTAAACTACCAGCACCAATCCATCTAGCTCGATTTCCCTGAATTAAAAAAATATTCAAATTTTTAATTTACAAAAAAAAAAAAAACTTCTTAATTAAAGCTTAACTCATATATTTAAGTGTTTTAGTTTATCTGAAAAGAATAATTTAGAAATTCAATTTTTTTCTCAAATTTTTATTTCTGATTTAATTTGATTGTTTAGCCTTATATAATTAGTATATTTAATTGCAAATGCAATAAATAATAGAATATTTTTTAGTAAATTTTAATTTAATTACTTTTTATAACTTAGAGATAAGAAAGTAAACAAATGAAATAAATTATTAGTTTATTCAAAGTGCATTCATTTTAGAGTAACTTTTGATTACTTTAAATTTCTCTTTGTTTGCTAGCAAAATATATATATTTTTTTAAATGGCAACAAAGTAATAAATAATTACGGTGTTGACTAAAGCACTGAGTGAAATAGGATTTAAAAAAACACTTCAAATATTTAATTAATAATTCATTTTTCAAGATTCGTATTATTATTTTTTCCGTACATATCAACAAATCACATAATTGTGTTTTGAAAAAAAAATTTTAAAAATCATTTTAAATAATTACAGATGAACAATAAAATTGAGTATAATTAAAAATTGTAAAAAAAAAAGAATTAAATTATTTTTAAGATTAATGAAAAATTCTATTAAAGTTGTAAAAATATTATAAAAACCGTTAGGTTTTGAAACAAAAAATTAAAGTACTCACTTCAAAAAAAAAAAAAAACAAAAATTGTTTCTAAAATTGAAAAAAGGTTTATTGGAAAATTACCTTGCTACCAAAATAGCTAACAAAAACCACCGATGGTATATAACCAAAATCACCGGCAGAAACCATTAAACCAGACATACGACTTGATATTTGAAATTGTTTTTCAATTGATACCACTACACTGTAACCAATGGAAAATTTATTTTATTAAATTTCAAATTTATTAATTCTAAGTTATTTTAACTTTTTTTTTGCTTTTAAATAAATTTCACTTTTAATACTAACCTTGCCATAAAGAAACCACCAATTGATTCCAAAAAATAAACAGTGAGAAAAAGTATGAAGAAACCAATAACCTATAAATTAACTCACTCAATTTTTTTTAAATTAAAATAAAAATTTCAAGAATTATTTTTTAAAATTTAAAATAAAAAAGAAAATCTCAAAAAATATTAAATAGAAAAACAATCAATTCAAAAAAATACATATATGAGAAAATATACCACCTGCACTTTCTCTCTCTCACCCTTTCTCTAATTTATTTTGTTCTTTTTTATTTTTATTTTTTATTAAAAAATCAATTTGTTAAATTTTTTTGTAAACTACTTACCGTCCTTTGATCAGACATTATAAATCACCATAAAATCGACCCAATAAATAGAGCAAATAGAAAAGAAAAGAAAGAAAAAAAAACAATTTGAAATTTATCGCAAAATGTAATCTGAAACTTACATTAATTTAAAATTTCACTTCAAACATTTATTTTCAAATTTGATGGATTTTGAAAAATAAACAATTAACTGTATAGCACTCATTCATTTTGCACATCAAAACATACCCACCCATACACCAATAGTCCACACTTCTACGCCCACACATTTTGGTGACACACCTACGCATCAATACGCCCACACACATTTCACACGTCAAAGCAGCATACCCACCCATGCACCAATAGTCCACACTTCTACGCCCACACATTTTGGTGACACCACCCACGCATCAATACGCCCACACACATTTGACACACCCACGCAATACATATATGTAAACAAGTATGTATGTATTTTTTTTTTTGTTTTAACAAATTTTAAAGTATTCTTTTCTATTCCATGGTTGTGATGTAAGAGAAGAAATCATCTGTTTTTGTCATCTGACGATAGCAATGCATTCAAAATAAACAAATGATATTTATTTAATCAACCACAACAATAAATAATTAATTTAATATCAATATGTGATAATAAAATAGCGAATAAAATAGAAAAAAAAATTAAATTAAAAATGGAAAATAGAATTAAATGAAAAATAATGTAAAAAATTTGTAATCAAATCAATATTTAATAAAATTATTGATGTTACAAACATTAATTTTTATATATTTCTAGGTTACAGTTTTTTATTTTTTATTTTTTTGAATCTACTATTTAATAAAAATGTTAGAAAATTTTATTAACAAATAGTTTTGCAAATGTAAAAGTGTTTATTGAATAATTAATAATAATGAATTGTTAATTGAAACTACATTTTATTACAATTTATCACTAGTTATTTAATTCCTGAATCATACTAAAATGTTTGATTGCTACATTTTAAGTACAATTTATTATTTACACTTTTAAGTTAAATATTTATTAATTTAGCTAAAGCTACATCCTTTCAATAATTGTTTTCAATAAAAATAATTATAAATTAATTAAAATAATTAGTATTCATTATAAATTAAATTTGTTTAACTTACATTTTTCATCTTTCAGTCTATTCTATTGTTATTTATTCAAAAGTACTTAACAATGAATTACCTTTTTTAATAAAAAAGCGGGTAAATTGAATCATGTTTAATTGTAAAGTATATCATTTAAATTTAATTGTCAAATTTTTGAAAAAAAAACAGTTCAAAATCGATAGAATAGTTCAACTTAAAAAAAGTGATAATATAATCGAATAACAAATATTAAAGTTTCAATTTTCATATAAAATTTCTTTTTCTTTTCTTCTTGAAGGGAGAAAATTATTAAAATAACAGGTTTTTTTTCTTGTCGACTATAAAGAGAAAAACAAGTTTTTCTATTTTTTTTTTGAAAAAGTGAAGAGAGGAAGAGAAGTAATATTAGTAAATGTAAACTTTTACTTTCTCTCATTTAAACTTTCTCGATTACTTATCAGTGATTATTTTGAATTATCACTGATAGTAGAAGAGATAAAATTTATTAAACTGAAATGCATCTAAAAATAGATTATGAAGTAAATTTGTCTTTTTTTTCTTTTTTTTGCATAAATTTTTAAAATTGATTGTTAATGATAAATTTAATTAGTATTTTAATTTTTAGAGAAATAGCAATTTAATTGAAATAATTACACGTTTTTTTTAATTAAATAGTCTAAGTAAGATGCTAAAATTAAATATTATGGGAAAATAGGGAATTAAAAATATATTATAGTTTAAATTAACAAAATTAACTGTGAAGATTAATAGTATAATTTTAATAATTTATTTTAAGAGTTATATTTAAAGATTAATAATTCAATTTTATCAAAAATTTTATATTAAAAAAAGATTATGCGTGAATTAAAAAACATGAAATTAAATTTGATAATTTAAATATATGAGTTGAATAGAAATCAAAATTGATAATGTGATCTATTTTCTAAATAATAAATAGTTTTATCATTTTTTTAAAAAAAAAAATTTTAAAATAGGATAAAAGTTGAAAAAAAGATATTAAGCAATAATCATCGAAATAATTTCAATTATCAAAAGAAGTAATGAAGGAACAGTGATAAGAAAACTGAGGGCTGTCTGCTCAATTTTGAATTGATAAATTAATGATAAAAAAGTATTATTGATAAAATAATAGAGAAATGCAATTGACTGATAACAACAAAGAGAAAAGAATACAGAAATGATAAAATTTCTAATTACTTAGAAATTTCTTTTTGCATACGAATTAGTTTTTTTTTTTAAATAATTAATAAAATAAATAAAATAAACAAATTTTCCGTTTCTTTTTTTTTTATAAATAATAAACGAAATGAAATTAAAAACAGTACAAAATGCAAATTGAATTGAAAATAATTCATTTAATAGTTTATAATTTAGCAGTTGCAGTGATAAAACGTCGAATACGTGTTCTTTTACGTATGAATTCTTACATGAATGAAAATTTTTTATTAATTTCATCTAATTTTGTTTTTTTTTTTGATTTCAAATTTAACTTTTGAAATTTTTGATAAAATTTAAATTGTATAATTCTTAATTATCAATTTTTGATTAAATTTAAATTATATAATTCTTAATAATTTTAACAAAGGATGGATAATTGGTTGTTTATTTTTTCTTTTTTTAAAAATATTTTATTTAGTAACTTTTTACGTTTACGTTTGCAATTAATAATTATTATTTGATCGCATTAAATGCTTCGTTTTTTTCCATTCTTTTGAACATTTTAAAAATAGTATTTTTAGAAAAAACAATCAATTTGTGAATGAAATAAAAATTAAATTTTGTTTATTTTAATCTAAGATTGTTGTTTATTTATTTATTTTAATTAATTAATTTAATTTTTTGGTCAAAAAGTGCAATGGACTCATCGGATAGTATTAAATCGACGAAATCTCAACGTTTTTCACGTTTCAATGCTACGCTTTGTATTCTTTTCACCGTTGGACTTTCATGGTTAAATCCATTTCTTTTTTTTTAATCTTTTTTTTCTAAAAGAAAAATTATTAAAAACACGTATAGGTTACGTGTCTAAAAAAAAATTGTTATACGTCAGGAAAAAATAAATAAATTGAAGCAAATAAGAATAAAATATAAGCGTAATGATACACGTAAATGGATGAAATTAGACGTATTAGTTAGTAAATTAGTTAATTAATGGATTAGTTCAGTTTAATTAATTAGCTGGTTAGTTAGTTAATTTTTTTTTTTTGAAAGTTAATAAAAAATAACTAAATAAAGAAATAAAGAAATAAAAGTAAAATGAATTCGGTTGTTTAAATGAAAAATGAATGTTAATTAAAGAACAAAGTTAGAGTTAATTAATTAATTAGTTAGTTAGTTTTTTTTTTTTTGTTAAAAAGTTATTTGCATAAAAAATTCCAATTAAATAAATAAATTAATTTGAATAAATTAATTAATTTTATTTTCGCTTTAAAAAGAAAAAAAAGGTGTAATATTAAGTTTTATGAGTAATTTGATGTATACCTATGATGAAGCAACGGGTAGTTTGATGGCTTTAACAACGTCTATCTTCACGTATAACTGGTTTATGCTACACGGAAATGCGTTAACACGTGCACGTAGAGCATTTCTTAATGTTGCAAATATCTTGGATACATATCAGTATGCTATCATTTTATCACACATATTTTTTATATTGAAAAAAATTTCATTTTTCAGCAATTAATCTTCGGTTGATTAATCTAGAATTTATTTTACATTTATTCAATTAGCTTTTAATAGATATCAAAAATTTTTTTTCCTTTAAAAAGAAAAAAAAATTTTTTTATTTGTCAGATTTTAATTTTAAATATTTTAATTATCAGAGTTTATAATCGGAAATATGGTCATTTCTATCAGTCTGATCCGGAAACACCGGGTGATGCAGCAGAAACATTCAAAAAAACTGTAACATTATCACTTGGTGATATTATCAATGAAACAACCACTGGTACAAGTGATGATCGAATTAAATTTGAAGAAGTAATTTAAAAAAAATTAAATTAAATTTCTTTTATTGTTGTATTTATGAATATTAATCCATCAATTAGCTAACATATAATATAATGGAAATAGATTCTGTTATCATTTAACTCATTATTATTTTGCTATTAGTAATGTTATTAAAATAGAAAATTATATTTTAATAATTAGCATCAATCTTGATTAATCTTGAAATAGTTTTTTTTTAATTATTTAATTAAAGAGATTTTAATTAATTAATTTATTTCAGATATATCATTGATTAATTTATGTTTAAATTATTTTCAAATCAAAAAATTAATGAAACAAATTAAAGAAACAAAAAATTTATTGTCTGTAACTAAGAAATATTCACGAAAAAAATTTTTTTAATTTATATTTAACTTTTTTTTTCCTTTCTTTTTCAATCTTTTCACGCAAATTCAAAAAAGAAAAAAAAAAACGAAAATAATTGGTGAAAATTTTTTAATATTATATTAAATAACTTTTGTAAACATCTGAAAAGTAATTATTTTTAAATTTTATCCTAAATTAAAGGCAGTACAAAAGCATTACACTGACGTATATAAAACAGTACAACGAGCGGAACGTGAAATGAAGACAAATACGCCAATTGTAGATGAAATTGATATTCGTTAAGTTATATTTTTGATAAAATTATTTTTTAATTGAATACTAATTTCTTTTTAAATTACAATTTATTAAAATATCAAAAAATTTTTTCATCTTTTTGGTGCATATTTAAGTAGAACTAAAATAAAAATTTATCTTTTTTCTGTAAAATATAATTAATTCTGAAATATGTATTTCAGTATTAATTTAATATACTGTTTAAATTTAATAAAAAAATAGCATTTAAAAATTAAATAAAAAGTATTAAAAGATATTAGATGTTAAATAAGTAAAAAAAAATGTAAAATTGTCAAATATTATTAAATATATTATTTTCAGAACAACGGAATAATAATTTAAAAGAAATGAAAATGATACCATTATTACCGTCAAATAATTTAAAAAGAAATGAAACTATAAATAAATCAAATGCAACAAAATAATTGATAAATTGTTAACTTAGCGCTTTAAATTAGCTTTGTCTTATTTTTGTAATTTGAAAATTTTGATTTTAGTTTCAATTTATTTCCAATAAAATTCCAATTTATTTCTACTTTTAGTTAAAATAATAAACTAAGATTAGAAATAAAAAGAATACAAAATGTTGAATACTTTATATTATCAAATAGATATATGTGTAACGATCACGTTGTTATTATTTTCAAAAACGGTCATTTACGTGTCAAAAGTAATAATTGATTAGTATACGTGTTGGAAGCAATTGCTGAATCATATACGTACCAAAAGTAAAAACTGAATCGTATACGTACCAAAAGTCAAAACTGAATCGTATACGTACCAAAAGTAAAAACTGAATCGTATACGTACCAAAAGTAAAAACTGAATCGTATACGTACCAAAAGTAAAAACTGAATCGTATACGTACCAAAAGTAAAAACTGAATCGTATACGTACCAAAAGTCAAAACTGAATCATATACGTACCAAAAGTAAAAACTGAATCGTATACGTACCAAAAGTCAAAACTGAATCGTATACGTACCAAAAGTAAAAACTGAATCGTATACGTACCAAAAGTAAAAACTGAATCGTATACGTACCAAAAGTAAAAACTGAATCGTATACGTACCAAAAGTAAAAACTGAATCGTATACGTAACCAAAGTAAAAACTGAATCGTACACGTGTTGGAAGCAATTGCTGAATTAATTTCAAATACTATTTATACGTGTCCAAAGTAATAATTAAATATTATACATGCAAGAAGCAATAACTGAATTGTTTACGTATCGAAGTAATAACTAAAAAAAAATAAATGCATCTTAAAAATAATAACAAATCAATTATAAGCATTCTTACTATTAATAAATAATATTAATATTAAATTAGCAATTTAAACTTTCATGGAATAAATTATAACAGGTCACGTTTATTATACAAACAATTACAACGCTTTTCACCGCTGCATATTGCAGTTTGAGATGAATCACTGTGAGCTGAACGTATACCTTCCGTGATGGTACTTAACGCCGTGCTACTGTTACATACCTGTTTTTGTTGTAAATTTGTTTTATACCTGTAAAAAAGAATGAAAGTTATATTTTTAAGTACAAATTATAAAATTATATCACAAATATTTCCATATAAATACAATTTATTTATTTTTTTTTTACAAATATCACGATAAAATCAATAATAATAATTTTTTCGCAGTTAACAATTATTTATTACGTATGAAACGTTTGGTGAAACGTAAATTTCTCTTTTCACATAGTATTGATATGCTTAATTAATTTAATTTTATTTTTTATATTTACTAATACTTAAATTTTAAAACTATTATTTAAATTTCAGTATTTCAATATTGTATTGAGAACAAAACAGATTAATTAATTCGATTTTCATTTTTTATATTTGCTAATACTTAAATTTTAAAACTATCATTTAAATTTCAGTTATTGTAATGAGAAAAAAATAAATCAAAAATATAAACAAATATATTTTACTTATTCATAGCTAAATAACGTGAACGATGAGAATTGAAAATTCGATTTCGTTCCTCCAAATATAGCAGTTTCAATTGATCTGAAAGATAATCTTAAAACGAAAAAATGTATTATTAGCATAATCAATAAGAAATAATTATTTCTTATTGATTGATTTTTATTGATTTTTTATTGATTGATCAATTGTATATTCACTGAGAACAAAATTGGATGTGTATTGATCATTTGAACTGATCAAAATATTTCATTTCTATTAACACTCAAATAGTTATTCCATAAGTAGGGAAGCATTTGATATCATTATCAGAATGATAAGATCAAAGATATTAGAAAATTAAAAATACATTTAAAATCTTTGATCAAAAAAAAAATCATTGAAATTTAATGTTGTAATATTTTTAGAAAAAAATAACTAATTCTATAGCTAAAAAAAGAAAAATTTAAATTAGATAAATAAATAATAAAATATACCATAAAAAAAATATGCAAAAAAACTAAAATTACTTTTTCTTTTTATAAATATTTTTATCAAAATATTAAATTTAGTTGAAATTAAACAACAGATGTTATTTACTTATTAATTTATTCTATTTGTACCTCATTTTTTGTTGAGAAAAATGATTAATTAAATAGTAATTATTATTTTATTATTATTTTGTTTACTAAATTTGCTCATTCTTTTTGCTTTTGTTTTTGTTATTGAAAAAATAAATAAATTAAAAAGTAAACAAACCACAAAGAAATTTTTCCCATGCATGAAAAGTGTTAAATTTGAAATGTATTGGATTGAGATTATACATTTTACAAAAATTATTTATTAATGTTCGAACTAATATTGGCTCTTTTACTTTGCCATACTGTAATTGCATTTTTTTCAAATGTGTTAATTCATTAAAAATTGCTTCTTCGTGTGCATAACATTGACCAATTCTTTTATCTGAAATTGAAATTTAATTTCAAATAGTTTTTAATTAAAAATTTTCAATAAAAGCTCAAAAAAAATTATATATGAAATATTTAATGTAAATTTTGAGTCAAATTCAACACCTAGAAATTTCAATTCATGATTGAAAAAAAATTCAAATATGTGAAAAAAATTCTTTTATTAATTTTAAGTAAATTTTTTAAAGAACAATATATACACAGAGAAAGAGGGTTAAGTAAAATTTTTTTTTAAGAATGAAAAAAAGACATTTAAAATTATTTTTTTCATTAATATCATTTTTTCGATTATTCCGAAAAAGAGAAGAAAAACGGTTTGTGAAAGTTATCCTTGAAAAAATATGAATAAATTATTAAGAAAATTATTAGGAAAAACTATTAAAAAAAATTATTAAGAAAATTTATTAGGAAAAATTAAATTATTAAGAAAAAATCCAAATAATAATAATATGAATAAATTGTTAATAAAAAACGTTAGTTATTATTTTTTAAATTATTTAAACAAAAAAAAAAATTAAAAAAAAAACTTTTATTAGATTTTTGTTGCATTATAACTTCGCCACAATCATTTCGATAAATGCCAACTTGCAATGAGCCAACTGATTTTGCTAATTTCTTTTCAAAATCATTTTTGCAAACATTTTTTAGCATTTTTTGCTGTGAATAACATTTCTGATAATCATTCATTGCAATAATTGATCCTTCTTAAATAATAAATTAAATTATTTTAATATTTATTTTTATTTAACTTTTTTGACTGAAAAATATTTCATATCTAATTTAACAGCACTTTTAAGTATTAAAATTTCAATATTTAATACAAAGCTGATAGCACTTTTAATTGTTTAAGTTTCAATATTTTATGTATTTTATATATTCAGTTACGTATATTATTTCATATCGAATTAATTTTTATTCAAATTTTTTAATATTTCATATAAAACTGATTTTGATTATTAAAATTTCAATATGTATTTTAGGTATTTAGAAAGAACTAACAGCACTTTAAATTATTGAAATTTCAATATTTATATATTATATTTATATTCAATATATTATTTCATATCAAATTTTTTAATTATTTAATTTTCAATATTTATATATTATATTTATATTCAATATATTATTCATATCAAGTTTGTAGTACTTTCAATTATCTAATTTTCAATATTTTACAGAAAACTTAATTGTTTTTAATTTTCCATCCATCACATTTCACATTTAAATTTAACTTTAAATATGCAATATTAACTCCGTCTAACATTTATACAGGTAAAATTATCATGATAATTTTCTCGTGATAATTTAATACTATAACTTTTACCAAATTAATAAAGTATACTAGGAATAATAAATGCTTCTCATTTATAGCAAAAAAAAAATAACAAAAAATTAATTGCTAAAATTAAGTTTTCGTTTCTTTTGTTTTAATTTTTTTTTTTTTTGAACGACAAAATTTTAGCAATAAAATTTACTATATAATAAATACATATTTTAAAATATAATTTCATTTTCAACACACAATTAAGTACTAAATTTATTTACAAGATTTATTAGAATTAATTAGAAATGATTATCTATGATTAATTTTATTTAATTAATTTTTCTTTTCAAAAAAAAACGAATTATAAAATTTATTGTTAACTTAAAATTACAAATAGAAATTAATTGCTTACCTGAGTGTGAAATATCACTTAAACCATAAATACTGCTACTTTCTGCATTATCATTAATATGTTTCCCATTATCATTGTTATCATCGTTATCATCGTTATCATTATTACTCAAAATTTCATCAATTCTTGTCACTGCTACAAATTTTTTCTTCAACTTTTCTTTATTTTCATTTTTGTCATACAATCGTTCATTTTCCTTCAATTGTTTCAATTGCAAATCAAATTCATTTCTTGATTTGTTTAAATTATTTCTGAAAATAAAAAAAAATTGTATATCGTTTTTCTTTTTTTCATTTTAAATTTAAAAATGTATTAGAAAATATAGAAAAATAAGTTTAATATCATTTAAAAAATTATCCAAAATTATTTTTTTTTTGCTGTTTTATAATTTTTTTCAAATGAATTATTTTTATTAGTTTTTGTTTTAAATGTTTTTTAAATGAA